ACCTGTATTTACTGTTCATCTTTCATCATAGACATGGTCTCTTTCTGTGAAACTTTATCGTAGACACGGCTGCAATCATTAGTTAACTCATAGGCTCCAGCGCGTCATTTGAAACAAGAGAAGCGCGATCCGTAAATATCGTTCATGTTTATAATATCCGGTTATTTTCTTCTTATTCACTCGACTCTCGACAGAAACTTTCGTGGGCTACAAACTGCTATATACAATATCCAGACGTATACTCGCCAAGGTCAACATCGTTCGTGTTTATAATATCCATTTACTTTCTCATTATCCCAGACAAAACGTTTTTGTGGAATCTTATAAGAATCTTACTCAATTCTTATATAAGATCTTCCATGAAAGTGACAAGAATTCATAAGAAATTGGTAAGAGTCAGCAAAACTCGTACGTTGTTCTTGTCAGATTCTTATGAATAGCAATAGGGTCTCAAGCAAGGCTGAAAAGATTATTGGAATGCCTTATTGTTGAAAAGGATTAAAAATTCTCAAAGCGAAGAAAACTTCAGCAATGGAAACTAACCGAAAACAGTGAATAAGAAAAATTCGTTGATTCTAATACATGCCTGAACGCATTCACCCTTCGTCCTTATAAATATTCATCTATTTGTCGACTTGTCAATTGTATAATCATCATCAGTCACCCTTACCTCTTCAATTTTATTGAAGGGTCAGTCTTTTACATAAAAAATCTTTGTCTGTTCTTCGATTTATTATTAATTATTGAATTTTTCTCATCCTCAGAAAGATGGGCTGCGTCGGAGAATCCAACAGAAAACACTTTGGAATAGTATGGGGCTTGAATGATTAGCGTTGTTTATTTGATTACCAGCCCCAACACATTTTTCAGTCAAGCTGTACATTAGAGTCTACTAGAAAGTGATCAATACTAACAACTAAATAACGATAGTTCATACAATGGTTGCTGATTGATATCGAACGTAGATGATTTTGAAAACAGAATATTTAATAAATGTCTAAATTGTTTATCCATTTTAGATATTGTTTTTTCAGTGAATAAATCGGTTGAATAGTTCCACAACAGAAAGAAGCGCTGTGTTTGACCTGTGTCGGAAACATCGTGTTTCACAGAAAACAACAAATCAAATTTTGATATATGTGCAGGACGATTTGCGGCAGGAAGGAACTTACAAACAGCATCTTCGAGGAGAACTTCATCAATTTTATATGTATCAGTTTCAAAGAAAAATACGGTTGAAGAAGTACGATCCATACGTGGATTACCGCTGTATTGTATATTTAATATTTCTGGTAATGGTAATTTGGAATGTTGTAGAATATTAACACAATTTCCATGCACTTTTGATAACAAATCAATAAATGACATGTTTGGATCAATAGCTAATCTATATGGGAAAAAACTTAGAAACATACCAATCGCATATTCAATTTCTGGACGATAACGATTTGCAGTGATGCCGTCTATGAGTACATCATTATCATCTGTTAATTTATAAATGAACAAATGATAACAAGTTAAAAATAATTGAAACATAGACACGTTATGTTCTCGCACAAGTGTCAACATACTACAAACCAATTCCTCATCTTCAATCGAACTACACAGAGTACCACCAAAACCGGATCGACCAACAATTTCGACAGTTTCATGATAATCGTATGGTAAAACTTTGTTAGGTTTATTTATATCATATCCATTGAATATCGTTTTCCAAAATTCTCTTGCTATATTCATTTCCGAATCAGGCGAATCATCTTGTAGCATTCGCAGTTCATTTATTGTATAATCAATATATCGTAAGGATTTATCACTCTGATCCGCCATACTTTCAGGACTTTTATACGCCAGTTCTAATTGTTTGATAAACGGTTCCACCGAACGCCCGTCAAATGCTGAATGATGAAGATTTAGTACAATCACATCATCTCTTATTAATGTATCATGATCATCCAATCTGTCATGATTCATTTTTACAACATTACAACGAAACACAATACCCGTATCTAAGTTGAAATAGTGTTTGTTTATTTCTCCAATCATGATTTGATCAAATCCTTGTTCATTATTCGCCATACTTATTTGGAATGAGTAATAATCATCATGATTCGATGTTAAAAATTCATCAGGCATCGGTTTGATATACTGTTTTAAGCATTTTTCTTCAGGTGAATATATCAGTTTTGTTCTTAATATCGAGTGTTTGTAAATCATGGCCAATAACGCATTACGTAAACGAC